AGTTCAATATACTGTAATACTATCATCAGCTGGATTTAAGGAACTTTCCAGATTTCTATAGGTCCGTGGTGAGACCACCACTCTCACCATCACACACTGCCCACTTCTTTATTATAACCAAGCAGGCTGTAAATGGAATCGATGACCCACCTTCCCCTAAGACACCATCAGGGCTAATGCCATTGTGCCAAATATACCTCAATCTCTTCCAGCAATCCAAGAACCCAAGTCATCAAAGAACACACAGAAATATCTCCATATATATGGACCTGCATTCCCTAGTGATTGAAATCTTTTCACTCTGCTCCCTGTTCACTTATGTTCTCTCTTTGGCATAATCTTCCACATCCCCAATCTCTCCTCTGACATTCATCCATTTATCTTATGATCTGTCTGAAACCTGATTCTCCTTTTCATCTTATGATTTATCTAAAAAGGTCAAGGAAAGTAGTTGGAAACCCTCTCCAGTGGTATCTGCTTTTTCTCACACAGTGCCCATATGGTGGACCCAAGAGATGATGATTGGTGCCCTCTTTATTTCTCATTGTTTTCCCAGATCTTTTCTCTTTAATCTTCTCTCAAAAACTCCAACTGTTTTGAAGCACATGCCTTTAGGCAAAACTACTCTCCACTCTTCCTTCTTGCAATCATTCCCTGATCCCTCAGTCTTATAACTCACTGAAGCTTCTAGCACTTGGCTCACAGTCTATCTCTGTCACTCTTCCTGTCATCATTCTTAGTGACTTCAACAATTATGTAGGTGGTCCATCCATTCATCAATTTGTCCTCTCAGAGCCTTGACCCCTTTATTTGCAATGGTGTCTTCAACCAATCCATCCCAGTCACTTACTCTCAGTTAAACTTCAGACCTCATCATTACCTTTAACAACTCCAAATCTCAATGTCAAGCATTTCATTCTTTGACAATCACTCCTAACTTTCCGACGTCTTTATCCCAGTACCGTAACCACAACGTCTCTCTGACCCCATTGGGAACTTCAGTTCCTTGCCCATGACTCTTTTTCCTTTATATCATACCTCTCTTCTCATTTCTATCCTCTTTAACTAAACTAAGTTCCATGCTCTATCGCTTCCTTGCATACAAACTAAATATCCTGTCCCCTTTCTCTCTCTATAAGGGTCACCTGGTAAAACCACAACCCTGGTTAAATGAAAATCTCTGCCTCCTCTTTTCCTGCATCTGAGCAGCGTATGGCCAGGAGAGTGACATCTATTACCATGCTGCATGGACTCACTCTAAATTTACAACCACAAAGCCTGAGTGGACCCTCAGCACTGCTCAGCCAACCTCCTTCATCTATCCAGTCAATTTCCTTTCCCACTCTTCGAGAATATTATTTCACACCTTCTGTCCCTTTGAACCTGTCCTCCCCTTCTCACTCATAACTGATGATCTCACTTCCTATTTCTCTGAGAAATAAGAACAATCAGAAAAGAAAAATGTATCTTCCAACACCAAATTTGTCAATCTAGCTATGTCCCCCTCTCTCCTGCCTTCTCTCCTGGTAAATGGGATAAACTTTCCTAGTTCATTTCAAATGCTAGATCTCATCTTCTGTAGCCTACTCAAGGACTCTGGTCTTCCCCTTCTCTCCTGAATCATGTTTCCCCCTTTCTACTGGGTCATTTCCATCAACAAACAGACACGGTGGGCTATCTCTTGTTAGGGGAGAACTCCTCATTCATCCTCCAGAGAAGGAGGAGTAAATTACCTAATTGGTGAATAGAGGAGCTCGGCTCAACTCCTTCTTCCTCTCTTTTTCCTCTCTGGGCTCCACCTGAATAAAGCTCATATTCTATTCTTTTTCTTAAAATTATAAGTTTCACAAGGGCAGATCCCAATAAAGAAGGTCTACAATTATTCATCGCTTCCAGGAACTGGGCAGGCAAGTCAGCCTAATTCTCTGCAAAATATTATCAATTGCATTTGGCTAATTGACTTAAATCCACCTACCCTAACAGTTTTGTCAGTAATGAAAGTAATATTTTGGCCTTCAACTGCTTGTTTCCTATCTCTCAGTAGATTTAAATTTGGGCAGATATAAAGGGGATATTTTTTCTTGGGTTCTCTGAAACCCCAACATCTCCTATCTCAAAAAATATTCCTTGGAATTTGTCATTCTCCATCTCTCACCCTATAGTTAGAAATGCCCTCCGTTAAAGCCAAACGCCTCAAGAAATTTGCTCTAACTCGATGTCAATTCATCCTTATCTCCTCTTACCTGTTCAGATTTTCAGTCCCAACATACCACTAAAACTATCGTGTCAAGACCACTAGCAGCTTACATCTTGCCAAATCCAATGGTCAGTTCTCAGCACTTGAATTACTCAACCTCTCAACCTCATTTGCCACAGTTGATTACTCCGTGCTTCTTAAAATGCTTTTTTTCGCTCTCATGGCTTCCTGAAACCAAACTTTGCTTCTTGGAAACCACTGAGGTAAGTGTTCATCCTACTTAACTGGCTAGCTCACTGGCCAGTCCTTTTCATTCTTCATTTTCCCTCTCCCACCATCACATAATAACTTTCAAACTACCATTCCCTTATAGTTCTTAACCCTCCACCACCCCATTTTTTCCACCATCAGCAAGCAAGCTACATAGATGCTCTGTGGCTTCACTAATGACCTTTGTCTTTTTTTTATGTTTTAGAATCTTCTCTTCATTCTCAATGTCACACAAGTCTCCTTTTTCTTTCACTGCTAGCTGAAATCTGGCTTCCCTCTGAAGATGCCACTCTATTCTAGCTCTTTTTCACATTCTGTGTACTTCATGATAGAGAGGGAATAACTAGCATTCTTTCACTTTGTCATTGTTGCTTTCAAACTATGGCTTTCCCATTCATATATAAAATATCCTTCTCCTTTGAAACTCACTCCTTCTGGCCTCACCACTCTCATTATTATTCTCTATCATCCTCCAGGTCTCTCACCTTCCTTCACTGGTGACTGATCTTCTTGCCACTTTTCCAAGGCACCAGGCAAACTGCCTCAGGGCCTTTGCTTATGCTAGTCCTTCTTCCTGAATCACTCTCCCTCCAGATTTCCATATGGCTCTCATTTAACTTCCATCTTCTCAATGTGGTCTTCCCTGACATCCTTTTTTAAATTATAAGCCTTCCAACTTAGCATTCCTTATATCTTTTCCATGTTTTATTTTTTTCAAAGCTCTACTTCCATCTGACACGGTACATATTTTATCCTATATATTTGCTTATTTTCTGTTTCCTCCATTAGAATATAAATAAGCACCATGAAGACAGTAATTTTTGTCTGTTTTGTTTCTTTAAAACAGTGCCTAGCTCATGGTAAGCCCTCTTATATTTATTGAACAAACAAATAAATAAGTGAATGATTGAATCCTCCTCAGTGAATTCTACATATATCTAGCTGGCCCATTCCCTGCTTTGCCTGGGTCTCTTGAACTCCAATATCTGTCACCTGACTCAGCTTCAGCCACCACCTGCCAACTTGCTCCACCTTAGAGTCCTTGACCTCACAGTCTCTCAGTTTCTATAGATTCTTATCTCTCACCAGTTGCATAACCTTTTTGGATAGCATTTTGTCAACATAAATAAAGAAATTAAAAAAAATTTTTGACCCCGAAGTTCTATTTATAAAAATATGTTTTAAGGAAAGAATCTGAAAAAAAAAATATGCAAAGATATCCATCTCAACCTTAATTTTAATTTGAAACAAATCTAAATATTCATTAATTGGAGGGTATATAAATTATATATATATAGTCAACAAACATGATTAGCTATGTAGTTATTGACGTGTGAAAATGTCTATTATTTTAAGAAAGGTAAAAATCCCAGGTTACAAGATAGTAGACATATTATGATCCCATTTTCATTGTCTATGAAATAATACATGGGAAGTAGCACATACATATAAGTCAGTTTATGTAAAGGCAGAGTCTCAAAATGTTTCTTTCCCTTCTCCTTTATTGGACTCAAGTTGGTGGAAAGAGGGAAAGTAGGGATGATGGATGAGACTTTCTAAGTTTGAAAATAAGAACACAGATCAGAAAGGAAAAGATTGATAGGATTGATTATATAATAACTTCTCTATGTTCATATAGACTGAAATTTCATAGATATGCATATGAAGCTGGGAAACATTTTCAGCAAATACGGCCTGATTATATATCATTCAAATTGATAAGAAAATCACTAAGCCAAAAGTAAGTAACAGATATGAATAGCCAATTTTTTGGAAGAAATATAACTAGCAAAAATCATGAAAGAATATTCAAACTCACTAGAAATCACATGTCAGCTAAAATTGCAATGATGTAATCTCCCCGATAAATTAGTCTGTTAGTAGAATACATGTGTAACTATGTATATACATGTATATATGTTCGTATATACATACACAGGCTCTCACTCTCTGTCTCTTCTGCTAGGTTATAAAAGGTCCATGAGGGATAAAACTGTTTCTGTGTGATTGACTACTTTATCTTGAGCACCCAGTCATGTGATTGTAACTTACAAAATTTTTAATAAGTATGTGTTGAATTCACAAAGACCAATGAAGTTATGGTGAAACTGATGTACATCCTCAAATTACATTTTCCACTGTTATGTCTTACCAGTTTATAAAGCCATTTCAGAATTATTAGTATTTTATATCTTTTTAACTTTTCCAGTTTCTAAACATAATCAAATGTGTATACTGACTCAGTCTTTAAAAAAATTTAATTCTTTGATTCTAGTTTATTTTTAATATTTTTTATGTTCTTTATTTAGCAATGTAATCTACTTATTTACATCATGTTTTAGTGCAACTTACAAGAAAAATAACATGCCAGAGAAAATTTTATTATAAATGTAAAAAATGTAAATCAAATAAAAATTCCATTGCGAGTCTTTGGTCAAGCCATCTCTAATATCGATTACAGAACAAAATATAGCTGAAACAACCACTGCCTTATTATGCAGACTATAAAGTACACTTTAAAAAAACGACAAAGGTCACAGTCTTTCTCTTTCTCTTTTTCCATTCAGGTTGGGTAAACAAGAGGGCATTAAAATGAAAAACTATTAAGATTATGCTCCTTATTCTGGGATTGAAAACTAAGGAATCTTGATAACACACATATCTCTAAAAGTGCTAGTCTTTCATTTTAGCATTGATATTTGGGTGATTTTGGTTGAAAATATGCATAAATATATTGTAGCTCATTTGAGAATTGAAAGGGCAGATCTTAGAGGGAAAGCTACAGAGTGGGCACCTGGGTGTTGTGACCTGAGGAGCCCCATCATTGTCACAACCCAACAGTAGAAATGCATGCATTTGGGCAAGCACGCATCTACCTTTGAAATCCTATGAGAAAGCAAATCTGGAGAAATACTCCCAAAGCGTGGCTTCCTGGGCATTTTTGCCACTATAAACTTTCCACCGACCTCCCTCTTCCCCTTCATGATAAGGAAGAAAAGTTATTCTGAATTCCCAACAGCATTCAAGAAGACTGACTTTTCTCCCTATTGTTTTTGGAAAGCAGACTAGTGTAAGGGAGAAACCACTGGACTAGGATTCAGGAAAACAGAGTCCAAATCTCACCTCTGTCGTATGTAAACTCAGACAAGGCATTAAATTATTCTAAACTTAGATTGTCATAAAATTACTCTAAACCTTAGATTGCTCATCTATGTAATAAAACTAATAATATCAGTTCCAGCTGAGTCTCAAGAGTTTTATAGAATTACATGGTGGTGCTATCAGTTCAAGTAGTATGCACATTATATTATTCTTCTTTCTGCACCTCTCTTTACCCTTATACATGGGATTTTAGATCTGACCTCAAAGCCAAGTTCTCTTCAACAAGCTAGCAATCAATCATTTACCCTTTAGATAGAAATAACATAGACATCCACTTTTTTTTTGCGAGTGTTTTGAGATTTGCACGGAAGGATTGAAAGTTTTAATTCACGGAAGATATAAGTAATTTTGAAACATAAGGCACTGCCAAAAGTAAGACTAAAAGGCCCTCCCTGGTTGATTTTCTCTATTCCTTTCATGTACTTCAACCATGGATTCATGATTCTCTAACTGATGTCTACAGCCCTGGCCCTCCCTTGAGCTTAGACCTCAACTCATCTGGCCATCTTAGAGGCACCTGCAACTCAGCAGGTCCCATCTGAGCTCATCAGTTCCTGTGTGCATTTCCATCAAACCCCAGTCTCAGTCCATGGACGTACCACTGTAGCCGCTGCCCAAGTCAGAAACTTCAGTTATCTTGCATTCCAATCTCTTTCAATACTCATGTTTCATGATGAACCAATCTTGTTAATTCTTTCCAAACTCTCTCTGCAAACAGCCCCTCTTCTCTCTTCTCTTCACTGCCACTTCCCCATTTCATATTCTCATCGCTCCACGTCATCTATCTACTTAGTCTTCTAACCGGATTTCTCCTCCTACTATTCATCTTCCATCCTGCTATCACAATGCTCTTTCCAAGAAAATACCATTCTCTTGCTTTAAAGTATTCAGGGACCCACCACTGTGTAGAAAGCTCAAACTTAATATGGCCTTCAAAACACTCAAACCTCCCAGTTAGGCTTCCTCCTGGCGACTCTGCCCCTCCTCCCAGCCTCATTTATCCCTGACCTTTCCCCTCCCTGGCTGCCTCTGTCTTCCCAGAGTACCCTGTACACGGTCCTCACTCTAGACCTTTGCTCATGCTGTTCCCTGGCTCTGTTCCTTCCCTGACGGAAATGACATCTCCTTTGAAAAGACTCACCTGGACTCTTTACTCCTCAACCCTAGACCCCGTCTCTCAGGCATGCAAACTTTGGCTCCCCTTCCTCGTGGTCCCATAATGTGTCTATACTTTTATTCTAGGATGTATAGCCCAGCACACTTATTTATCTCTACGTTTATCTCTGTACAAGACTCTGAGTTCCCAAATGGCATGGGTTGCTTCTTATTCAGCTCCATATAACTAGTGATTGGCCAAAATGCTTGGGTTATATTAGGTGCAGAAAGAATTCCTGGGCAGCTGAGCCAGCTTGGGAGTTCTGGGCGATGTGGACGGTGCAGGATAAGGAGACAAAAAGGAGAAATAGGAAAATTCCGATGGCAAATTTGCTTTACTACACAATTTAGCCTTGAAATTTGTGGAAGAAGCTAGACCTAGATTCAGAGAGAAGATGTCAATGCAGCTCTCTCCCTTTCTTGACTCCCATACAAAGTTAACCCCGGAGCCGGCCTTTCAGCAAGGCACCCTCACCATCTGCAAATAGATAATGATACCAGGAAGCTGCAAACGGGATTCTTGAGGAGCCGCCTCAGCCTCTGCCTGCCTAGGAGCTTGCCCCAGGATGCCTCGCCTGACTACCAGGTAAAAATAGAAGAATCTCAACTTCAGTGTTTTCTCACTCTCTTCACAGGTCTCCCAGGGCCTATATCTTTTCATCTCTGCACAGCCTGACACCTCCATTTGGCACACCACGGCTAGGCACCAGCATCAAGCTCCACGGAGTCACACTTTAGTTGCAAAGGCTGGAATGAATTTCTGCCCATGCCCTGTCCCTAGGGCAAACGTTCTTAATTCCCTTTGATTGATGGAAAAAGCAGGAAGACTATTGAGCGATCTGATCAAGGAGATAGAGGACCAGCTATCAATTCTCATCTAAGTATGCTGACAATGAAGCCAGGTTCGAGCTGAAGGTGGGTCCATCTCTGCTCACAGCTCTAAGTTCTGCTTCCCTCCTCCTGGGGTGTAGGACTCTGTGAAAGGTAAGGCACTCTCAAACAGGAATTACTCAAGGGCATAGAGCATTTTCTTCTTTTCTCATTATATCCAGAAGAATAAAAAGTCTTGGCTTCGATGTTCCCATCAGGATAAAATCGTTTCCAGCTTATAGACAAGGCCCCTTGTGTGGCCTGGGAAAGGCAGCTGAGGCAGCACTGAGCATCATCACACACCCGGTTCCTCAAGGCCCCTTCCTGCCTCCTAACACCGCAGGCTGAAAGCAGTAATTTATACAGCTGCTGGCCACCTTCCCAGGATGTTGCACAAGAAAGCCCATCACTCTCTCTCATGTTGGGCTTCAGAGTTCCAGAAAACTTCACAATCACTTCTACTTCTCCTCGTGCATCACCTATTGTTCGAAGATTCCCCCAAACCAAAGGAGGACAAAGAAATATTGACCATCAAAGGCACCTAGAGAAAAGGCAAACCACATGGACCCAGCCTGATTCAGATTAGACTCACAAGGAACCATCTCTCTCTCTCTCTCGTTCTTTTCTCTCTCTCCTTTGGGTCAGACAACTGAGTCTTACACTGGCCTTTATTGGGAATATTCGTTCTTTTCTATAGGGTTCCAAGCCCAACCCTCAACTCTGAGCCAAATCCGTGCTCTTAGCAACCACTGGGCCTTGTGAAGCTGGAGTTTTGTTCCTTGGATTACTTCCCAGAGCCTTTTGAACACACTTCTCTTGCTAGGCCCCCTCAGCCTCTCACGTCCCTCTTCAGTCCTTTCTCTTCTCTTTGCTCTCTTGGCCACTCTTAAACGCCAGCTGCTGACTTCCTGGCCACCCACTGCAGCTCATTTTCCTGCGTTTATCTCATCCTTTTCCCGATCCTCTTTCTTTTAGGCATCTCTCCCCCTTCAGGGACTCATTACCCCAGTGGATCCGGTTGCTATTTCCTCGCTCATTGTCCTCTTGCCTCAATCACTGATGACACACCACATCTATTATCATGTCTAAAGCCTTTAAAGTCAACTGTTTCTGTCTACCAAGAGAACCAGAGTATATTTCCAACGAATAAAGAATTAGAGAAGATGACAATTTTCATTATAATCTTTTTTTGTTTTTTCGGTCTGTATTGTACTATTTGCTTCTTTTCTGAGGTGGCTTGGGAGGGCGTGAGAACAGGGGACTTATTTAGATTAGAAGCCTTGAAATTATAATACAAAAAAGTCTGTTTTCCCTTATAGACAGATACAATTTAATTGATGATTAGTAACGTTAAATAGGAACAAACCACAGATTTCCTTACAGTGTTCATACTCCATAAGAAAATTTTATGGACTCCATAATGGAATAGGATTCTGATTTTATTTTGCATATATTATATTATCCATGTTTATTGTTTCATTACTTTGCTTTTCACTTAAGGTTTGTGTTTTTTGGTTCATCGTCTTGCCTCCCTAATTTCCTTCCTGGCAGATATGAAGGTTGAGAGGCCATAATCAGTGGATTGCGTGACTTATATAATATCTCCTATGGTTTTTGTGACAGGATAGGCACTAAGAATGGAGGAATACTTTTAAAATTCCACAAACTTTTTTTCCACATAAATGTACAATGAAGGAAGAGCAAGAGAGACTCATATACAAAGAGGGCTGTGTACCCAGAGTCACATCTAAGTTATTTCTTTACAGCTTAATATAGAATATCACCTGCCTTTCAATGAATTGTTTACAAGAAAGCTTCCTCTTAAAGTAGACCTTAAAAGTGGTCTTTTGAGGATGAAGAAAAAAATATGAAACCAAGATGGTTCAAAAGTATGTGTCCTGGAGACATCTGGAGGGTGAAAAACTTGTGATAATTTAAATCTTTTTCATTAGAAAACAGATATATGCCTATTGCAGAAAATGTTAAGACTACAGAAAAAAGAAATAAAATAATCATCCAGAATCTGCACTTCCCTAGAAGCAGACAGAAATATGTGCTGTTTTCATTTTGGATTTTGCTATATCTCCTTCCTAAGGGTGAATTTTTGCATAGTTGAAGTACTGTTTCTAGATGGTATATGTAACTTATTAACCTGTTTTTTAAAACCTATTGTATTATTTTTTTCTTTTCTTTTAACTTTTTATTTATTTATTTTTATTGGTGTCGTAATAGTTTATAACATTGTGAAATTTCAGTTGTACACTCTTATTTGTCAGTCACTGTATATATGTGCCCCTTTACCCCTTATGACCACCCCCCAACCCGCTACTCCTCTGGTAACCACTAATCTGTTCTCTTTGTCCATGTATTTTTTAATCTTCCACATATGAATGAAATCATACGGTGTTTGTCTTTCTCTGACTGGCTTATCTCACTTAACATAATACCCTCAAGTTCTGTCCATGTTGTTATGAATGGGATGATTTTGTCTTTTTTTATGGCTGAGCAGTATTCCATCGTATATATATACCACAACTTCTTTATCCATTTATCAGTCGATGGGCACTTGGGTTGCTTCCAATGTCAATAATGCTGCAATGAACATAGGGGTGTGTAAGTCTCTTTGAATTGTTGATTTCAAGTTCTTTGGATAAATACCCAGTAGTGGAAAGCGGGGTCATATGGTATTTTGACTTTTAGTTTTTTGAGAAATCTCCATATTCTTTTCCATAGTGGCTGCACTAGTTTGCATTCCCACCAGCAGTGTATGAGGGTTCCTTTTTCTCCACATCCTCTCCAATATTTGTTGTTTTTTGTCCTGGTAATTAGAGCCATTTTAATAGGCGTAAGGTGATATCTCATTGTAGTTTTGGTTTGCATTTCCCTGATGATTAGTGATGTTGAACACCTTTTCATGTGCCTGTTGTCCATCTGTATATCTTCTTTGAAAAAATGTCTGTTCATATCTCTGCCCATTTTTTGATTGGGTCATTCGTTTTTTTGTTGAGTTGTATGAGTTCTTTACATATTTTGGAGATTAACCCCTTGTAGGATATATGATTTTCAAATATTTTCTCCCAGTTGGTGGGTTGTCTTTTCATTTTGTTCATAGTTTCTTTTGCCTTGCAGAAGCTCTCTAGTCTAATTAAGTCCCATTTGTTTAGTTTTTCTTTTGTTTCCCTTGCCCAAGTGGATACAGCATTCGAAAAAATCCTTCTAAGACTGATGTCAAAGAGTGTACTACCTATATTTTCTTCTAGGAGTTTTACGGTTTCACATCTTACCTTCAAGTCTTTAATCCATTTTGAGTTAATTTTTGTGTATGGTGAAAGATAATGGTCTACTTTCAATCTTTTGCTTGTGGCTGTCCAGTTTTCCCAACACCATTTATTGAAGAGAATTTCCTTTCTCCATTGTATGTTTGTGGCTCCTTTGTTGAAGATTAGCTGTCTGTAGATGTATGGTTTTATTTCTGGGCTTTCAATTCTATTCCATTGATCTGTGTGTCTGTTTTTGTGCCAGTACCATCTGTTTTGATTACTATAGCTTTGTAGTATATTTTGAAGTCAGGGATTGTGATGCCTCCAGCTTTGTTCTTTTTTCTCAAGATTGCTTTAGCTATTCAGGGTCTTTTGTTGCCCGTATGAATTTTAGGATTCCTTGTTCTATTTTTGTGGAGAATGTCATTGAGAGTCTGATTGGGATTGCATTGAATCTGTAGATTGCTCTAGGTAGTATGGACGCTTTAAGTATGTTTATTCTTCCAATCCATGTGCAGGGAATATCTTTCCATTTCTTTATGTCATCATCAATTTCTTTCAATAATTTCTTATAGTTTTCATTGAATAGGTCTTTCACCTCCTTGGTTAAATTTATTCCTAGATATTTTATTCTTTTTGTTGCGATTGTAAATGGAACTGTATTCTTGAGTTCTCTTTCTTTTAGTTCGTTGTTCGAGTATAGAAATGCAATTGATTTTTGTAAGTTGATTTTGTGCCCTGCAACTTTGCTGTAACTATTGACTATTTCTAATAGTTTTCAAATGGATTCTTTAGGGTTTGCTATAAGTAAAATCATATCATCTGCAAACAGTGAGAATTTCACTTCTTCCTTGCCTGTTTGGATACCTTTTATTTCTTTTTCTTTCCTAATTTCTCTGGCCCAAACCTCCAGTACTATGTTGAATAAGAGCGGTGAAAGTGGGCGCCCTTGTCTTGTTCCTGTTCTCAGAGGGATGGCTTTCAGTTTTTCCCTGTTGAGTATGATGTTGGCTGTGGGTTTGTCATATATGGCCTTTATTGTGTTGACATACTTTCCTTCTATACCCATTTTATTGAGAGTTTTTATCATAAATGGATGCTGGATCTTGTCAAATGCTTTCTCAGCATCTATTGAGATAATTATGTGGTTTTTATTCTTCATTTTGTTAATGTGGTGTATCATGTCGATTGATTTGTGGATGTTGAACCGTCCCTGTGTCCCTGATATAAATCCCACTTGATCGTGGTATATGATCCTTTTGATGTATTGCTGTATTTGGTTTGCCAATATTTTGTTGAGGATTTTTGCATCTATGTTCATCAGTGATATTGACCTGTAGTTTTCCTACTTTGTGTTGTCCTGGTCTGGCTTTGGGATCAGGGTGGTGTTGGCCTCGTAAAATGGGTTAGGAAGTCTTCCATCTTCTTCAGTTTTTTGGAATAGTTTGAGAAGGATAGGTACTAAATCTTCTTTGAATGTCTGGTAGAATTCTCCAGAGAAGCCATCTGGTCCTGAACTTTCATTTTGGGGAAGGTTTTTGATTACTGTTTCAATCTCTTTACTTGTGATTGGTCTATTCAGAATCTCTTTCTTCTTGGTTCAGTTTTGGGAGGTTGTATGAGTCTAAGAATTTATCCATTTCTTCTGGATTGTCCAATTTGTTGGCAAATAGTATTTCATAGCATTCTCTTATAATCTTTTGTATTTCTATGGTATCCATTGTAATTTCTTCTCTTT